ACCAGTATGCCAAGTTCACAATATCTCTCCTAAGACTCACTTAGTCCTTTTCATTTTTATTCTTTACAAAAGCATACATTTAAGGAAGAGAATGCAAATGTTTTTATAAAATCCATTTGACTTGAGGAACTGCTTTTCTGCAGGTCTTGCTTGACATTTCTTTTCAGCAGTCTTCCTTTAGAGGAGGTGAGGGCTTCTTCTTTAAGAAAAGATAAGATGACACAAATAGAACTATTCGAACTTATTTTTCCCATCTCATCATTTCATGACGATTTAAAAAAGAGTCATATTACATTTCCTTCTTTTGCAGTTTTGATTAGGATGATGATGGTGATGATGATGGTGATCCTTATTTTCTCACTTCCCCAACCATCAGTATATTACATACTATCACAATTTGTTAACTGTGGCCTAATGTTTCACTTGTACTTATCCCTAAGAAATAAAATGCTTTACTTCTGGTTTTAACTCTGACATATAAAAAGCTTAGAAATCGTCACTCTGTCTTTACAACAAGAAAAAACTGAACAAACTGAAAATCAACAACTTTTCTGACACCCACCAGAGAACTGAGGTTGGAAGGCAAACTATCACCCAATCTAGAGAGATAGACAAGTTCAGACTCATAGCCAAGATATACTTATCTAGATCAGAAGCCACCCACCAGAAACATAAAGTACTAGGAGTGCTTAACTGGTAATTTTAATGAATTTCTGGAAACCATAGAGTAGCATCAAAGTTAGAAACTCCTTGAAGCCGTGGTCTTGGGGGCTCCCCACACTTTGCGGGGTTTCTTCATTCAGACAACATACCATCTAGGAAAAAGGGATTCCTTGTGAAGGTCCAAAATCAGTGTTCTTGTTGCTCTGGAAGAAGAAGGTGAGAAGTAATCACTGCAAAATATGACCAGCACATTCTTTATAACAAATGCGTACACCTAGAATAAAAGCCTTTGCCCGCCTGGAGGAATATCATTTTTTTCAGCTCCATCCCCCTCTCACTTCCTTCTTGATCTGAGGGAGATAAAAAAGCTACCGCAATGGAAAAACACTTCTGTAGGTCACAGTGCAGAGAAAAAAGAGCACAAAAAGAGTGTGATTTCATCAGAAGAGTATACAAAACTTCCCCTTTCACACATAACCACTACATAAACAGGACTCCAGTATGACAATAATGGATTTACATCTGAAAGAAACCTAAATGCAAATTCTCTCTGAAGGGGAGTACTCAGAGAAGACAAGAGGGGAGTCAGAAAAGACACTAGAGACTTTGGCACCTATAGCTACAGTAAATATTAAGCACAGCCCAACTCCTAACCAGATGGAAAGAATCCTCACGTTAACAGCCTGTTAAACTCAGTTCCTAATACCTGATACAAAATGTTCATCTTTTGGGGTGCCTGGGAGGCTCAGGTGGTTAAGCATCTGACTTCAGCTTAGGTCATGATACCGCAGTTTGTGGGTTCAAGCCCCATGTCAGGCTATGTGCTGACAGCTCAGAGCCTGGAGCCTGCTTTGGATTCTATGTCTCCCTCTCTCTCTCTCTGTCCATACTGCCACTCAAAAATAGACATGACAAATTTTTTTTTAAAATGTTCATCTTTCAATAAAAAAGTCCAAGTCATGGGGCACTGGGGTGGCTCAGTCGGTTAAGCCTCTGACTTCTGCTCAGGTCATGATCTTGTGGCTTGTGAGTTTGAGCCCTGGATCAGGCTCTGGGCTGACAGTTCAGAGTCTGGACCCTGTTTCAGATTCTGTGTCTCCCTCTCTCTGACCCTCCCCTGCTCATGCTCATGCTCTGTCTCTCTCAAAACTAAATAAATATTACAAATATTTTTTTAATAAATTAAAAAAAATCCAAGTCATACCAAATATAAATAAGAAAGGAAGGAACAAAGGAAGAAAATAGCCTAAAAAGACAAAAAAAGTAGTATAACCAGACTCAGATGATACTCAGACTCATTATGACCCAGATGATAAAATTGTTAGACAGAGTTTAAAATAACTGATTAGGTATGACTGGGTAGCTCAGTTGTTTAAGCATCTGACTCTTGATTTTGGCTCAAGTCAAGATCTCACAGTCATGAGATTGAGCCCCACATCAGTCTTGCTCTGGTCATAGTCTGCTTAAGATTCTCTGTTTCTCTCTGCCCCTCACCTCAAAAATAAAATAAAATAAAATAAAATAACTGATTAATGTACTAAAGTGTCTAAGGAAAAAAGTAGAAAACATATTAGAACAGATTGGTAATGAAAGCAGAAAGGTGGAAATTCTAAGAAAAGGAAATGTTTAAAATAAAAAACACTGCAACAAGAATGAAGTATGCCTACAGACTAGACACAAACATAAAGAAAGAGACACTTATATAAATCTCCACATAACAACAAAAATGCACCATCTTCTCAAGCTCCCATGAGGCATTTTCACCAACATAGACCACATTCTGAATGACAAAACTCACTTAAAGAAATGTATAAGAATAAAAATCATACAAAAATGTTTTCATATCATAATGAAATTAAACTAGACATCAATAATAGAATGATAACTTGGAAATCCCCAAATATTTGGAAATTAGTCCACATACTTCTAGATAACACAAGTCAAGCAAGAAGTTTCAAGAGGAACCAAAATATTTCAATGGAAATGAAAATATATCAAACTATGTATAACGAGGGAAAAACAGGGTTTTGACAGAACTTTATGGTATTAAGTGCATATATTAGAAGAGAAGAGGGATCTAAAAATATATAACCTAAACCTCCTCATTAAGAAACTAGTGAAAAAAAAGAAATTTAAGACTAAAACAAGCAGGAGACAATAAATAATAAAAATTAAAGCAGAAATCAACACAATTGAAAACACAACAGTACTAACAACAAAAAGAGAAAATCAACAAAACCAAGATCTGCTTGTATGAAATAATGAATGAAATCAATAAATGCATAGATAGGCTAAGAAAAAAAGAGAAGACACAAAGTAGCAAAATCAGAAAGGAAATAATTCATTGGTACTGATCTACTGATCCCATGAATATTAAAGGGACAATAAATGACTCTCTTAAAATCTCATATTAGAGTTGCTAAAATTAGATGAAAAAATGCTGGTGAGAATGTAGAACAACAGGAAATCTCATTCATTGCTGTTGAAAATTAAAAATGGTGCATATTTTTTAAAAAGGGGGAGGTGCCTGGGTGGCTCAGTCAGTTAAGTATCCGGTTCCTGATTTCCCCTCAGGTCATGATCTCATGGTTCATGGGATCCAGCCCCACAATGGGCTGCCTCTGACAGGGCGGAGTTTGCTTGGGATTCTCTCTCCCTCTTCCCCTTTCCTCCTCAGAATAAATAATTAAACATTAAAAAAAAAAAATACAGCTGGCACATCTCCTTTGAAAGTTTGGCAATTTATCAGTGATAAAAAGAAATGATCTGGCATGACACAAAAACATGGGTGAATCTTAAGTATACTTTGCTAAGTGAAAGAAGCCAGTGTAAAAGTCTATATATCATATGATATTCTGTAAAAGACAAAATTACAGAGATGGTAAAAAATCAGTGGTTATTAGGACTTCAGGGGAGAAAGAAAAGGTTAAATAGGTAAAACACAAATGTTTTTTAGGGTGGTGAAACGATTTTTTATGATACTGTAATGGTAAATACATGACTATGAATTTGCCAAAAAACAGAACTTTTCCACACAGAGTGAGCTTTAATGTATGCAAGTTTAAATAAATATCATTTCGGATATCAGGAATTAGCAGGATGGAACAAGAATTGACAAACAATATAACTGTATCACAAATACGTGAAAAAAACCTCACTGAAATTCAGGATGGGATAAGGGGTGAGCGGGGGAAAGTGCTGGACAAAGTCAGTTTGGAATTCATTGGAGACTGTAAGATTAAAGGTAAAGGCAACTTTACTAAGCACTGTACTCTTAGTTAATAAAGTTGTTACCCACAGGACTATGTGGCCACCATCCTATTGCTGTCACATGTAAGTATCAAACTGAACAATCAATAAATGTAGGTTAACTATGGGAGGCAAATGAGTCACTGTTGGATTGACAGATTACATATAAGCAAATGCTATATGAGGCTAGAACGATCCATGTTTAAGGGACTAGAGTTGTAGTCATCAGTATTAACTCATGTTTTGTTTAATATGCATATAGATGGCTACATATAGAAATACTTATGAATATGTGAATTTGCAGGAGTTGGTAGACACATATATATTTCCCTTTGCATTGTCAGCTGAGTCTGATTAGAAACAAATCTAGACGATAATAACACACCTAGTAATGAACACACCTAGTGCCCGGATACTGTTTTTTACTACTATTCTTCAGTGGAAAACAAACAAAATGAAACAAGATTCCTTGGAGAAAGTCTAGAATGGGACGAGAAATAATACAAGATGTGCCTGGAGCACTTGTAGTGTCAGAAACTAAGGAAGTATAAACACATACATGTACACGAAATGATCGAAATTTGTCAAAGGGATGCTGGAGTCAACTGAAAGAGCTATCAGTGGCCAAAACCAGAGAAATTTGAACAAGAAAATAAATGAAATCATATTGGATTGTAATCCTAGCTATAATATAAATCTCTAACTTCTATAAACAATTGAGCAAATAAATAAATGAAGGAGAATAGGCAAATCTCACATACAGAATTCTAATTTATGTACACACTCTGCTCTGAAGGAGATTGAAGCATAACCCCCCACTCCAGAAGTGTGGGCTAGCCATAGTGATTTCCTCCCAAAAGGACTGATTTGAGAAAGAAAAAACCATGACTTTACAATGGAGAAACCTGAGAAACATTATCTCAGTCAGGTGATCAAGATTAATATCCTCAGTGCTAAATCAGATTGACAGTATGTTCCTTGGTATGATGATAGTAGGCACACTGAAGTGATAAAAATGACACTTTACTTCTGTGGACTTCCTTACAGGAACACGTAACGTTCGTCTAATTATGAGGAAAATATCAGACAGACAGATCTCGATGGAAGGACATTCAACAAAATACCTGGCCAGTACTCCTCAGAACTGTCAAGGTCATCAAAAACAAGGTAAGTCTGAGAAACTATCACAGGCAAGAGCTGCCTAAGGAGACATGAGGACTAAATGCAGTGTGGTATCCTGAATGGGATCGTGTTGTTGTTGTTGCTTTAGCTTTAGTGTTTTTGTGTGCATGTGTGTGTTTTTTGCTTTTCAAATGTCAATGTGATCTTAGGACAAAAAGAGACTCAGGTAAAAATCAAGGAAATCTGAATTCAGCATGGGCTTTTGTTAATAATAACGTATCTATATTGGTTCATTAGTTGAACAAATGAACCCTCATGTTAGATGATGATAATAGGGGAAACTGGGTATGGGGAATATGGGAAATCTCTTTTACCTTCATACTCTTTCTGTAACTCTAAAGTGTTTGTAAAATAAAGACTTTATTTCAAAAATATATTTGATTTTATACCTTCCTGAAATCACTTTTTAACATATCCAAAAGAGTTCAGACAAATGTAAGTGAAGGAAAATTTCCACTTTTCACTGGGAGTCAATTCTTCTGGAACCTCTGTTTCTGCACCTCTTGTCAACAGGGAACTGGTTTTCCTTTATTCCACACTACCTTTTCAAGGATGTTTGTATAAGGAACAGTTTTTGAAGATTGGAGATAGTGTCTGCCTCCTAAGAAAAGTGCAGGCAAGTGTATTACTCACTTTTAAAGCTTTGGCCTAAATTCAGAATTATTTTGTAACCTAACCTACTGTGCATGCAGGTCTTAATCTGATCCCATTGACATTGCCTAGTGTGATTTCAAGGCAAGGGGTTCGGAAGCAATGGTTCCGAGGCTCATACTGCTCGCTGGACCGTGAGTGAGAATGTCATTTGGCTCTGACCCAATGATCGCATGTCTACCATCAGCCTTTCTAAAACGGTAGCAGTTTAATTTGTTAGCTTTCAAGTGGGACAAAATCTCAAACTCTTCACAGTTCTTAATGATCTTTATATCTGAATATGACCGTGGAATTGTTTTCACTTGTGAGTAAACTCCAAAATGTGTAGGAATTTTATCTTTAATGTTTATTCTGGCTGGAACTTTCTGCTAAATATAAACGTTTTCCCTTTTCCTTACTGTTTTCCATTTCATTTTACTTTTTATTTTTATCACAAATTCATCAATCCACTCTGTGAACTATTTTATATATGCATTATTCCCCCCTGTGATCATCAAAATAAACAGAAGAGGCATTAGCCTCTTGCACACCAATTTAAACATATTTCTTAAATTCTTTGCTAGTTGGTAAATAGCTTTTCTCCCAAAACTTTTCTCCCCAATCTATTCCCACTGCTCCTGACACTCTGGTACCTTGCCGAGATTCACATACCCTATTGCAGCAACTAAAGGGTTAACGTTTCTTCCAGCCCAAGATCAGGGAATGGTTTGAGGAACTACTGGCCTCCTGTGTCCATAAGTTCAAATTCTTGAAAAATAATAGTTAAATTTTTAAGGTTACAACCGATAATATCCACATTGTATTGGCAATGAGTCTGAGGATCAGAAAGGTAGGTAACTTACACAAAGTTGCTTGGCATATATATTCTGAGGCCAGGAGTTAAATGGATAACTGGTTGACTCAAAAGACTTCAAAAGACTTCACTTAGTCTTCCATGCCCTTTGCCTCTATTATTCTAAGCAAATATGTTCCCTTTTTAGTCTTTTAAATGAGACATACTTATTTGCTTTACTTGATTCATATCTGCAACTGTATCTATCCATATTAAATGACTCAAAATCCTCATTACGAAGAAGTCCTAAGTGTTAACACAATAGGATATAGGCTTAATGTATGATGAGCAGTACAATATGCTAGGAAGTGAAGCAAAAAGTACAGATCTCAAAGTCCTTCGTATACCAGAAAAACTGAATTTCATCTACCATGGGTCACAGTCCTTTTTCTTAACTTCATTTGGTCTAGGAAACAAATATCTGGGCAAAATGACAACACTACTGAGACTCAATGCATAATCAAGACTTAGTAAAAATTTAAGTACATTTGAGCCACAAAGTATTTGCTACTAGCGTGAAAAATTTAGCATTTAAGTTTTTTTTTATTAAAAAAAAAAACATACTTATAACAAAGTTCCTTTTCCTTACACACTAGAATATCTTGGAAAAGATTTCATTTGAAATTATTATAGTTTTTCTTCTTCTACTTTCCACTTCCTAATGGAATTTTGCATAGATTAGCTGCAAACAGCGTTTGGTAGAAAAGGCCTTTGATAACCTCTTCTGCAGCCAGATATGTTCATGTAAATCTATGAAAATCAAATGACAGAGTGAATGTTTGTGTTCTCTTTCTACTCGTAGAGGGTTGGAGGGTAGATGTCTGGAGATTCGAAAAAGCAAAATTGAGTTCCAGATATAAAAGTCCAGGGCACCAATTTTAAACTAGAAATTAAGGTATTAAAAGAGGTTATTTAATCTTGAATTTGCAAAACTACCCAATGAAAATTAATGATTTTAATAGGATTGGAAAAAGAGGAGAGTAGGAAGCAAATATCTTTGGCAAATTCTCTTAGAAATTACATCCTGATCACAAGCCTTACCAAATATTCAGAAATATATGTATGAATTAAAAAACAGTAGCACTTAAAAAAAAAACATTTTTGATGTGGTGAAATGTACTTGTTTCTGTACTAACGAACTGAATTGCTGACTTTTCAAATATGTGAATAAGCATTGTGCCACCAATTCATATTTAAAAGACTGAGCCAGGGGGCGCCTGGGTGGCTCAGTTGGTTAAGCATGGGACTTCAGCTCAGGTCATGATCTCGCAGTTCATGAGTTCAAGCCCTGCATGAGGCTCTGTGCTGTCAGCTCAGCGCCCGGAGCCTGCTTCAGATTCTGTGTCTCCCTCTCTCTGCCCGTCCCATGTTCATGCTCTGTCTCTCTCTCTGTTTCTCAAAAATACATAAACATTAAAAAAAAAATTTAAAGACTGAGCCATAACCCTCACCTAAAGACTCAACTCATTCGTTTATTGCTTTGAAGGGCTGGTCACAGGAAAAACAGCACCAAGAGTTTTCAACATAGGTTATTATATGAAATAATGAATTTAAGCCTTCTCAGACTCAGTTACCAGCTGGTCAATGAGACCACATGTTCAGTTGGATAATGAGAAGAATGGCGCTCTAGTTTAGAATCAACAGCTACACTGAAATCTAACCTTTACCACCAATGTCGATAAAGCTCAGAAGCTCTCTATTTCCTGTCAAAATCCTTAAATTGGTTTGTATGATTTGTCCAAATGCATGTATTTCTTCTTAGCAAAAACAAAAACAAAGATGATGGTATTAATCTCAAATGAAGAATCTTTTCAAAGAAGATGTGTCGCATCATTTTTTACCAGGGTGTGTTTTTCAAAACATTTTATCATAGTTCAAATTTGGATTCATACTCTAGCTAGGCTATGTAGACAGGGGAACAAAGGATAGCATATTTCTTATTTTTAAGAAGCAAAGACCTTTTTTTGTTACTAGTATTAAGGTTTTCGAAAATTGCTATGGTTGCTAAAAAAATGCTGTTGATTTACTAAAATGTGATTAATTCAGGTGGCTTTCAGCTTGTCCACCTATGGTTAACATATAAGATACATGCCTAATAGGTAAAAGATGATCAATAATGCTTAAATTTCTAGGACCATTTCTGTGGATTTTTGACCTTCAGTGTTACTGGAGCAATGCCTCATAATCTTTAAAGCGCATGCGAACTGCCTGGGGATCTTGTAAGAGCAGAGGTTCTGATATAGGAGATCTGGGATGGGACCCATGATTCTGCTTTAGTACTGATGGTGCAAATCCATATATCACAGTGTAGGCAGCAAAGTACTAGCGAATGCATCTGGAAACTCTGGTTTTCATGTAATACTCTGAACCCAGTAGATCTCTTTTTGAACAAGAGTGATTATTCATCCCCTGTGATATGAGTTCATTTTCCTGCTTGATGAGATACCAGGAAAGCTTTATCACAAATATTGCAAATGTGGGGGCGCCTGGGTGGCTCAGTAGGTTAACCATCCGACTTCAGCTCAGGTCATGATCTCACAGTTTGTGAGTTCGAGCCCCACATCGAGCTCTATGCGGACATCTCGGAGCCTGAAGCCTGCCTTGGATTCTGTGTGTGTGTCTCTCTCTGTTCCTCCCCGACTTGGCACTCTGTCTCTCTCTCAAAAATAAAGATTAAAAAAAAAATTAAAAAAAAAAAAACAAATATTGCAAATGCACATGTGGATTCTAAAATCATGACTTGTAGCACCAAACTTAGTGATTTAAGATAGGTCTTAATATTTATTTTTATATGCATACATATATATGTATATATATTTGTTCATACTGATATTCAACAGTATGACATGTCAACTGATAGTCAACAGTTCATACTGATATTCCAACAGCAAAGGGTTCATTCTCAGCTTCCCCCTTTTCTTAGTCTAACTTTCTTTCTCAAAAAAGAGAAGCCTGGTTCTTACCATACAAATTATTTACTGATTTGCTCAGTCCTAGAGTTCACACAAAGTGGTTTCAAAATTGCTAATCCATACTATTGTGATAAACACCTACTCACCAGAATACAATATTTATAATTCGATTTGTCTTTTGTCTTCAGTTACATAGTTAACATGCTATGCTCCAAAGTTATCAAGTTCATTCTTTCTGAGTACCACCCTTTCTTACCCTATGTTGTGGGTGATAGTCACTTGAAATACACTTAGGTTTGTTTCCGTTTATGTTCCATATTTTTTCTTTTACATCCTCCAATTTTTGGTGATTTTATGGATTTATTTGTTAATTATGTAAAACACTGACATCGTTCTAAAAATCAGAACTTTATAAAAATTTACACTCAGTAAAGTGTCACATTCCCATGTCTTTCACTCTATTCCCTTCCACCTTTCTTACTCTTACTTCTTCCTATGGGGAACCGATCTCAATCATATTGGCTTATCTTGTCTATGTTTCTTTTGTGTGCAAAGGAGCACAATCTATGTCCCAGAGCAATTTGTTAAAAATTTTATCTAGGGGATGACAATTTTATCAT